GAAAGCCTAGCAGGGGAGGATCCAAAGCGTGAATAAAAGCTATGGAAATACACGGGGGGACCGACCTAGCAGGGGAGGATCCAAAGAGAAGAAACTCTAAGGGTCCGCCTGCTAGGGCGCCAACTATATACTGGTCGTCTGTAACTGCCGACGTAGAGCGCAGAAGGCCTGAGCGGCGTCGCAAGCTCTGTCCCAAGGTGATTGTTGGGAGGGTCTTGACGGATCGGTGATTGTGCGGGCGAAGGAGGCCGTGGACGATGGTCGGGGTGGGTCGGAGCGTCCGAGGGGGCGCCCGTCGGATGCGCCTCGGATGCGTTCGGAGGGTCCGAAGGAGGCCGAAGCGGGGGGTTCCCCTGACAACTTGGAGTGGACTTCTGCTGGATGAAGACTCCTTGCCGGATAACTGGATAAATGAAAAGGGGGTTTTAGTGGGTATTCTACCTTTAAAAAAGGGTGTTGGATGAATCACACTTGAGTAGGAGTCCCACACTGGTTTAAAACGTGCATAAAGGCATTTCCTCCTGAGCTTACTTCCCGGCATTTTTACTGGCATTTTCTAGTGCACCCAGCGGATGTTCTTTGGAATGCTTCTGCCGACTGAAGTTCATTACTACAAACGCTCCAAAAAAAAAAAAAAAAAAGTATTCCATCATTAGACGTCAATAGATTGTTGTGACAGTACAAGATGATATAGTTGGACATTCTACATGATAATAGGAGATTATACCTTCCAAATCAGCTCTGTCCCAGCTCTATCAACCCAGCCTAGCTAGAGATCCATCCTGACCTTTGAGAATTGATGGAAATCAAATACCACTGATGAGTAAATGCACAGCATTCCCAGTGCCATATCACCTGTTTATCCCAAAACCCACTGTGCATTATCAGTGGCAACCCAGCAGGTTGGCACTGATAACAGCCAGTCTTTTCATCTTTGCCTAAGTGGTGAATAATTGGTGGAGATGGGGTGAATAATTGGTGGAGATGTGAATATCTCCAAAGTCCAAGGCCATTTTTTCGCTAAGTCCAACATGTAGGGGTGAATAAAGGTGAATAATTTGACACAGGCCATCAAGACCAAGTTCGCCAGTCATACTCCGTGACAAGTGTGATATATTGTCCCGAAAAGGAAGTTTTTTACTAATAAACATATAAGTAGGTTTTGTTGCCTGTATCATGCTGTTATACACTGTCCTATATGGTAATAGGCATTTTTGAAATTCCAAGAAAGGAAATAAATACTGTTTGATGATACAGTCATCAGAGTATGTCACACATTGTCACAAAATCAAAGTTGTATATTTTGACCATATGAACAACTTTCATTAAGTAACCTATAGTGCCAGCCAAATGGGTGCATCACTACTTGTTAATCAGTACATGATCTCTAACTTATAATATGATATCTCAATGAGTAAATAGGATAGAGACCCAATGGCAGCACTACCAATGATACCTACATGAGATGATCAATATCCTTCACAATACAGGATCATCAGCACACCTATACTGACCCATAATCATCTATCAAACATTTTGATCTAGCCATATCTCCACCAGTTCATCATGGATTTGGATGATTGTTTCACTAGTAGGTAGGCGGTTAATATTCTCCTGATATAGGCTGATATTAATATAGTTTAATATCTCTAGACTACACTGTTATCCCACTTTTCCATGGGTTTTCTGGCCTTAAGTTGAATCAAAAACAATGATGACTTGATATCTAGGTGAGTAATGCATGGATAATTAGGATACAAGTTGTGTTATAGTCTGTTGGATCTCTATAATAGCTTGTCAAGACATATATATTTTTAAATATCCTATATGTCTGTATATATGTCATATATGCCAGTGTTGCAATCTCCTAATAACTTACTCAGAGGTCAGGTATCCCCAATGGGATAAAGGTAGTAAGCATACAGAGGAGTTCCCCTGAGAGATTTGATGCCTTCCATAATATTTTCTTGATGGAATCTCTTGTTATTCTCCATTATACCTATTACTGCTATGACACAATATATTGATAATACAGCCATAATCTGCTGGTTGATTATAGATCAAAATATATTAAGTTCAGTCAATGAGGTATATAGACATACCTACATACTCTGATTGATAAGGGTCTGCACTTGGATAGAGACATGAGGCAGACATTTAACTACAGGTTAGGTGCGAAACTGGTGTACATGAATGGTGAGGTCTATAGACTCAGTACACATCAGGAAAACTAAATTTCTCTGGAAGACCTGGCACCAGGTCTTCCAGGTCCTCTAGATGCTCCAGACAGCCTCTAGCACCAGAGGACATGCCTAATTCCAGAGCCTTCCAGAGAAATTTCTGGTGCCAGAGACACTTCCAGACAGATGTCTGGTGCCAGACGCACTTCCAGACACTAGCTAGACATGTATCCAGAGACTCCATTATGCTCAAATCTATACCAAATATCATGCTCGTTGTTCAGTTGATTGAATAGACAGTTGTAACGAATAGCTAATGCCTAGCTAATGCCCATTTGCCTGCTGCGCAATCCCATTCCCCTCCTCCCCCTCATCCTCAGAGATGTCCAAATTCTCCCGAGGGTCATAACCTCCTCGTCCGGCCTCCCCATCAGACCCACTTCCCTCGGAGGTAGCATCGAGACTCGCAGTTGTTGCATTTTTCTTGGTATATGGCTCCACAAGGTTGAGGATAAGTTGCTGCTTCTGTGTCGATTGGAGGGCACCAAGGCCGTTGTAGTACTTCTGAGTTCGTTTAGCCCATCCAATGCTAGAGAATAACAATTTCTTCTCTTTGCCCCCGCCAAGGTCGATCTTCTGGATGAGCTCTCCCGTGCGCCACATTTCTAGTGCCCGTTCAGCCTATAGTATGAATAAGTACATAGTCACACAGCAAAATATAACTTACTGCGGCAGCACAGAGCGCTAAAGCTCCCGCGGGAAACCCAAAGTTTGCCCGAGTACGCGGCTGAATTGCCAGCCGAAGATGCTTCCGAGCGAACGGAATGAGAATATATTTCGATCGATAGATGCCAGTCTAGTAGTATGGTCAGCCATGGTATCATATGCAGACTCCACGTTACATGTGCGGCTCCCCCGGCATACAAGAAGTTGGCGTTAGCAAGCTGATGTTCGGCACGTTCAGCAATAAGCTCCTTCGTGATTAGTGGCTGATTTGGCAGCGGGTCGCCCTTCTCGTCTCGTTCGAGGTCCTTCAGAAGCAGTCCTGTAACTAGGACAGCGTCTTTCCCGATATCACTCCGCCAGCTATCAAGATGGGCGCTCATCTGTTCAAGGAATTCAGCTATTGCCAGTGGGAAGTGTGTATTTGAGCACTTACAACACCATAAACAGCCGGAGTAATCGCATATGGGGATTCAGGGTCTTCAGTTGCAGGGAAGACAGCCTCCCAGGCACCTTTGACGGTCGCGCGAAATTCTTTATGGCTGGCAGTGGTAAATGGTTGCTGCAAGGTTCCGGCCCAGTCGATGATAGAGCTCGCGACCGACTCGCGGAACTGTCTCTTGTCAATGGGGTCGTGGATGGGTAGATGGCTGGTGGTGTAGCGGGGCTTCGGTCCTTTCTTACTCTGAGACTCGTTCTCGGCAGCAGGGCTGGGTTGTCGAAGCACGATGCCCATCTCGTAACATGTCAGAATTTTTTCCCACCGAAACATCTTGCTTCTTACCTGCGAAGTCGTTGCGTGAGGCTTTCTGGCCTGTGTTGCCGAAACAGTTGCCTCTAAGCTCTCAGTGTCGCCCTCCAGATCGCCATCGATATCATCGTCTCCGCTGGGATGGCCTAGAGCGGAGGAGACGGAGGTGGTGGATGTTCGGCGGCCCTGGTCCAGGACCTCTTGCCAACCCAGCGTCGGCCCCGTCAATCGCTCGTTTGCCAGTGGCACGTTCGCAACTTGCTTCCAATTTGCGGCCACACCGCTCTTTGCCTTTTTGGCCCTACGCGTTGTCAGCGGTTGTGCCGGCACGGAGGGAGGCTACCTGGGACCATCCAAGGCGGATTTTTCGCTAGGCCTTCGTTTGGTGGATGATTTGGGCTGAGGCTGCCCCAGGTCTTGAATTTCCGCACGAAGAGGGGCCTGATACTCATTGGTAAGCCGTCGTTTGTCGGTTAGACTTGACTGACCTTCACTTTGGCCTTCGCTTTGCCCTTTTTCCTCTCCGACTCCTTTTCGACAACGCTCTTCGTGTTTGCCATCTTTGCCTTCGACATCGTGGCTTGCTGCCGACGCCGCTTGTCGTTTTCACCATTGTCCGACTCATAGCTGTCGGACCCGTCAGACAGCTCCTGCCCCGCATCGATATATGCGTCGCTGTTGTCCTCGCCGGAGCTTCCATCTATGGCGCTGCCTGTGCTCATCTTCAAATGAGAATCTGTCTGATAATCGTTAGTATAACTCAGCAAAACACTGTTGCGCACCTTGACAACAACATCAGCTTGCTTTACCGGTACTCGGTCCTTCATTCGGAACGGGTTTTGGCCCCGCGGTGGCGTGAGCAGAAGCTGGGTTGGAGTTAGGTCAATGAATAAAGGTGTGTGAGTGTGAGTGTGAGTGTGACGTCTACCTCATCGTCCGCTTCTTCATCCTGCTGACTCTCCTGTGATTTCAGTAGGTGCTGGTGGCCTGGAGCGAGGTCGGGGTGGTTCGAGGAGCTGGCCGTCGCTTCGTGCTTGTCGCGTAGACGTTGTTCAGCGGCAGCAGCTTTCTGGATTTGTTTCTTGCACTTGGCTTCGGCACTCTTCATCTTTGCTGCTTTTTGGTGCTCTTCTTGGCGGCGGTCTTCTGCAATTTCAGCGGCTGTGCGGCGCTTTTGGGTTGCATTCTTCAAGATCTCGCCGGGACGCTTGTCGGTCGCAGGGCGGCAAGGTCTGGCTTCGGGCTCCATGGTGGACGAGAGGAGAAGTGGGACTTGTGTCGAAGGTTGTTATTCGTGCACGTGCAGGCACAGCACTGCCCGGTCGATCGTTTCATGATCAGCTCCTATGCGGCTAAACAGCGCCTCCATCCGCAGCTTCTCTCCTGTCCTCTTCTTCCTGGTAATGCCGCCTCATCGTGGCAATCGCAAGACGATCGCAGACTTACTGTGCCAGTTTCCGGGCTGCGGGAGGGCATTCAAAACTGCCTTTGGCCTCACTCGCCACGTTCATGCTTATCATGACAATCCAACTCATGACAACGCAAATGTGGGCGCCTCCCTCCATCCACCCATCGACGCTCCAGCCACAGATATTGCGCGGGACAGCCCTATGCCCGACTGGGAGCCTCTTGCCCGTGCTGCGAGTCCCTCAGAAGCCTCACAATCGGACGTGGCGTCTCAGAACTCTCCAGGCTGGCGGCGCATTCATCACCCGTTTCTCACCGGTAGGTTATAGGCATTACTGGAGGAAATATCGCTGACTTTTCATCGTTAGCTCGTCCTTGTGATGAAGATGGTGTCTATCTTCCAGAGGGAGCAAAGCCGCGGCCGCAATGCGAGTTGGCGCCGGACGAGTGGGATCCCTATGAAACCGAGGTCCAATTTCGGCTGGCGGACTTTGCTTTTCGAAAAGCACAGATTTCAGGCTCGAATATCGACGAGTTAATGGAAATTTGGGCCCTCGACAAGCTCAAGTCTGACGAGCTGGCCCCGTTTGCCAATGCCGATCATCTCTACGAAACCATCGACGCAACGACGCTGGGAGATGCGCCATGGAAATGTCTTGTCACTGATCCCGTCTCCACCGCCGCCAGTGCTCCCGAATGGGCCCGGCGTTCATACGAGATTTGGTATCGTGACCCGGAGGTCGTTGTCAAAAACCTCCTTGACAATCCGGACTTCGATGGACTCTTTGATTACTCCGCATATGTGTCAGGGGAAACCCTGATGCCGTCACTTGATCCCATCAAGCGCCGCGTCTCCGCTCACGTCTCCGCGTCTCCACTTGCGTCTCTGTGTCTCCACCCGAGTCTCTGTATTCCTGCACCCTGACGCTCCTCCTCCACTTCTCCCACCACATCCCGCATCCAGTGGTCCCCAACCTCCAACTCCCATGGCCACCCCTTTCTGGGAGTCTCTCCGGAGTCACCATCAGGGATCACTAATGCCATCGGAGACCTCTCCGGATGTGGCCGCACCACTTTCCTCTGAGACCTCGAGCCTATGGCCTTATAGCCTCTCTGGGCTGTCGCTCATCAAGGTCTCCCTGCAACCTCTACCCGTTGGACCTCTTGGGTGTCCCCAACCTATGTCAGCGTTCGGGCTTACGTTCGGATGGCTGAGCCCCACCATGGCTCCGCCCCCCCACTCCGCCACCACGGCCCCCGTCATCGGGTCTTCCTTTGGGTGAGGCCTACTGCCGTTAAGGCTCGTGCCTACTGCAGCGCCCCAGGCTGCACGCCCTCACACCTCCACCTCTCTGGAGACATCCGGGGACGTCTCCGAGTGACCCTCCTGTCGCTACCCTCCAGTGGTCATGGCTGGCCGCCATTCCTATTGGTCCTTTCCAACACTCCCCGGCCCTTGGGCTAGACCGACTCCTTCCCTCTCCGCTCCATGCCCCCCCTCTCCGTTTCCGGCCGTCACGTCACGGTCACACACCCGGAATCGATTCCGATTCCGATTCCGGTTGTCACGGTCACGGTCACAAGCGGAGACGCCCAGAGGCAGTCTGGACCCCCCGAAGCCCTTCCTGGGCCTTCTAAGGATGCCTGGGCTCTTCCCTTGGCATCATGGTCCCAAACCTGCCTCTCCGGAGCTTCGAGGGCTACTCGACACTCACCTAGGGTCCATTGGCGACACCTGACTTCTCCCATGCGTTGTTCGTCGCTATGCAGTCACTCTATCATTACTCCGGTCACTAGTATATAGTAGTGCACCTGAGCAGAGGGCTCCTTGGCTTGTTCTCTAAGGATTCCCCCTCTGCTCAGGTGAGTCTGTAGCGTCCCTTCCTGTTGTAGTAGTTTCACTAAGGATTCCCCCTCTGCTCAGGACTCTGATTTCGAGCCTCGCGAGGTTGCCCTTACAATATGTGGAGGTTAATCCGGAGAACAAACGACGCTGGTCGGATTTCATGTCCGCCAACTTTGCCTGGTCTCATTCGGTGAGTGTCTGTCGCTAACAGATGTCCTTCAATCTCACATAGGTGCTCAGGATCAGATATACAATGCCGACAATTCCACAGCAGGGGCAATGCTTTGTCCACTCTTCTTTGGTGCGGACAAGACAACAGTTTCAGTCTCGACAGGCAATGTCAAATATCACCCGGGGTATATGGGCCTCGGAAATGAGCATAGTACACTACGATGGGCGCATCGAAATGGTGTTGTCCCTTTCATTTTCCTTGCCATTCCGAAAAGTGTGTGCTCTTCTCTTTTCTTACCTGCTCCGCTTGCTGACAGCGATGAACAGGTGATCGAAAGTACGATAACGACCCCGCATTCCGTACCTTCAAGCGTCAGCTATACCATGCATCATGGGCGGCTGTTCTCTCGTCACTGAAGCCCGGAATGACAGTACCTGTTGTCCGCCGCTGCCCTGATGGTCATTTCCGTCGAGTAATCTATGATTTTGGACCCTTCATTGCCGACTATCCAGAGCAAGTCCTTCTTGCTGGTGTTGTGCAGGGATGGTGTACTAAGTAAGCCTTCTCGATTTGTCTCAATATTACAATGATAGAAATTTAGATGCACGGCTCCTGCGCATGACCTCGATGGGCCGATAAAAACTGCGCGAACATATGAGGGGACGGAAGAGCTTATCGAAGCATTTGACGGGGATACAAAGACTCTGTGGGAGAACTATGGCATCAATACGGATGTCGTTGTACGTGACTTAATACCATTGAAATCACATGTGCTTAGACTTTATAGCCATTTACGACTGAGTTTCCTCGTGCTGATATTCACGAAATGTTATCACCTGATCTTCTTCATCAATTGATCAAGGGCACATTCAAAGACCATCTGGTAGAATGGGTTAGTGAATATCTCTATCTGACCCACGAAAAGGCCAAAGCAGAGCAAATCCTCGATGAAATTGACCGCCGGTATGTCTTGCTTGTTGCTGCGTAAAATAATTGAGCCACCTCCAAGTATTGCGGTAGTCCCTGCATTTGCAGGCTTGCGGCGGTTCAAACATGGCCGACGCTTCAAACAATGGACTGGTGATGACTCAAAAGCACTTATGAAGGTAACTGATCGCTCGTTTTATATTTTTGTGATTTTTATTGCACTCAGGTCTACTTGCCGGCTCTTCAAGACCTTGTTCCCCCCGAGATAGTCCAAACACTGAGCAGCTTTCTCGATTTCTGCTATCTTGTCCAGCGACAAGACTTTGACGAGGACACACTTGATATCATCGATGATACCATCACCCTCTTTCATCAGCGTCGGGAGTTTTTCCGCACTGTCGGTGTCCGCCCTGATGGGTTTTCACTCCCACGTCAGCACTCTATCCGGCATTACTGCTGGGATATCAAACGATTTGGTGCGCCCTATGTAGTGTGTTCTTCAATCACCGAATCACGGCACATTACTGCTGTCAAGAAGCCATGGCGTCGCTCAAGTCGATTTGAGGCGTTAGGACAAATGCTGCTGACAAACCAACGTCTTGACAAGCTGGCTGCCGCTCGAGTCGATTTCGAGGAGCGTGGCATGCTACGCCCCCAATTTCCCGCTCTTCCTGACAAAGTCAATGTGGAGGATGATGCTGACGAAGAAGTGATTGATGGGCCCCGGGTTGATGGGAATGTTGTTCTTGCTCGCACTCGAGGTCTGTTGCCACTTGTGATGTGATGGTTGCTTACATAATTGACTATAGAGCGCTCGTACCCATCAAATCCTGATGATCTTGGCGTTCATGTCAACATCCTGCAGTTCTCTGCCCTCCTCCGTGCCTACCTTGACATCGACGAAGATCTTAACTTGGACGACGAGATCGAGCATCTCTCCGTGTTTCATTCTGCCGTCGCCAGCTTCTACTCTCCCAGTGATCCTTCTGGAATTCGCGGCATGAAGCGAGAGCGTATCCGATGTACACCATCATGGCGCAAACATGGTCCACGTCGCGACTGTGCCTTCATTGTCGAAGATGATGACGCTCCTGGATTTGCTGGTATGAGTGTTGTCCGTATCCGACTGTTGTTCTCTTTTACTCGCCATGGTGTCTATCATCCATGTGCAGTGGTGCAGTGGTTCAAAAAGGTGGGCCGACAGCCTGACCCACAGACAGGGATGTGGATTGTTGAACCAGAGGTGAGACATGGCTCCCGTCTTCTAACTATTGAGCACTTGGACACCATTCTTCGAGCTGCGCATCTTATTCCTGTTTTTGGAGAGTGTAACATTCCCCATGACCTTCGTTATACCCACTCCCTTGATGCTTTTCTGGCATTTCATGTCAACAAATACATAGATGCACATGCTAATGAAATTGCATTTTGATTCTTAAATGTATACATTGTCTGGAGGCTGCGCTGGAGACAGCCTAGAAGCACTGGGTCAATAAGCAGTTTGCTGGAAACTGTCTGGAAGCACTGGCTCCAGACAGTTCTCTGGCCAGTCTGGTACTAGGTTGGCCAGATCTCCCAGGGATCCCAGGTGGCCCAGAGAAATTTAGTTTTCCTGATGAGATGCATGTATGGTGGTATTTGGATATCTACTAGTACCCTGTACTATAATTAGTTGTGGTTCTGACATGTGTTACAGAAGGTAGCTGAAGAGAGGGTAGGTAGCCATAGAGCAGAAAAGAGTGTCTTCGCTATTACAACTGGTCAGAAATTAATTTCAAGTATGATACAAGACTTGAACATAGGATACTATAGACCTTCAAATAAACCTGTCCAGCACTTGAATTAACCTCATAGCTATTCTGGATCTCTCACAGTACCATTATCAGTGCTATCTATCCCAAAAATGATGAGTTCACTATGGGCTAGTCTCTGTGAATATCATAGATCTGACCATATCTCCTGGTAGGGGTCTCATGCACCTCCTGTAAAATGGTACCCCTACCCTCACAGCCCATCTGCATCCTAGCTTATATGGCACCCAAGGTCTCCAGGAATTAACTGACCCTAACACTTGCTCTGTGGTTATGAATGGGTGTAGTGTGCTGGACCATCCCATGGTATCATATCAAGTTAGATCATAAAATTCTATGCATGCAGTCCCAGTATATCAGCAAAATACTACTCAACTTAGGATTCAGGCATGCTTGGCAGTAAATATATAAACCTAATAGTAGCAAAAAAATATAGTTGATGATGCTTAAGTATAGTTGGATGGTATACCTTTCAAATGAACTTTCTTCCAGCTTTATCCACCCAGGCAGGCTGGGGATCTGTGCTGATCTTTCAACCATGATGGAGATCAAATGCCACTGATGAGTGAATGTATGGCATTGTCAGTGCCATATTCACTAGGAGATGGGAGGGTATATAATGGAGCAATAAGTTATAGTAACTAAGCTTACAAATCAGCCACCTTACAATTTTAAAGTACTAGATATTCTCTTGTTTATGACTGAATGGTTAATAAAGAAATCATATCACATAATAATAATCAAAACATCCATATTAATTGATAATACTATGAAGACCCTTCTTGCTAGTGCTTGATTTGTGCATTTAACTCAAGTCACAAGCAAGATAGAAGCCCATCAGTTATATATAAGCCAGTAATTGGGCAGTGCCAATACTACTATTGAGCTGCCACTATAGATAGTCATGATATACAACTTTGATTTTGTGACAATTTGTGACATGCTTTGATAATTGTCCTTACAAACAACAAATTTCCTTTTACGGAAATAGCTATATGATATTGTAGAACAGGACATAGGCAACAAAACCCACTTACATGTCTATTGGTAACAACTTCCTTTTTGGGACAACATGTCACACTTGTCACAGAGTATGACTGGCAAACTTGGTCTTGATGGCCTGTATCAAATTATTCACCTCTACATGTTGGACTTAGTGAAAAAATGGCCTTGGACTTTGGAGATATTCACCCTCATCTCCACCAATTATTCACCACTTAGGCAAAGATGAAAAGACTGGCTGTTATCAGTGGGTTTTGGGATAAACAGGTGCGCGCAAGAAACCACGGCTTTGCATTGTATTGTATTCCCAAGGCCCGGGCGCCTCCTGTCTTATCCACTGAACACACGGCGCGTTGCGGGTTCGACGCCCGGTGCGCTGATGGGACATTCTGGAGTCTCCCCACAGCACCCGTTTTTTGTCCGTTGCCCTGGGGCGTCTGGTCACGGTGCCGGGCAGCCGGATGCACAGAGGCATGCCGGGATATATGAAGATGTACTTGACACTAATTAATTGCAACACAGACTAATTGCACCCCACGCATCAGAAAGCGAGTCGCAGCCGCCCCTGGGCGCCGGTTCGACGCCCGCCCAGCCGTGGATGAGTGGAATACCCAGGGTGAAATAGTAGTCTTTTGACGCAGCGGCGGGCAGTGGCAGCCTGGCAGGCCATGATCAGGGGTAGGCCGCAGGAGATGTCAGGACCGTATTTTGTATTGTAGGACAACATCAGAGAGAGAGGTAGTAAACAGACACAATATCGCACACTAGAAGCGCGGTCCCTCGCCCCGCCCAGGCGCGGGTTTGACGCCCGCCAGGCCACAGCCCACAGCCCATGGGTATTCGGTATTTGCATACACTTTTGGCCCGTCGGCTCGGCGCGGGGCCGCGCGCAGCTGCTGCGCACGAAACCACGGCTTTGTATTGCATTGTATTCCCAAGGCGCCTCCTGTTTTACCCCCCTGCTGGCGGATCCCGGCCCGGGCCCGGGCCGCGCGGAAGCCGCCCACACTGCAGCCTGGGACCCGTAGGATTGTGCATGGTACTAATGTCTGATGGTCATTGGTATCACTGCGGGCAATGGAGCATATTCCACCCTGGAATATGTTGAGAATATTATGAATATTACAGGGTGTATTCATTCCATTTTCTAGGCTGGAATATGACAGGAATATCCGTGGAATATTCTTAATTTTCTCACCATCTGCCACATATATGACAGCCCGGAAAATGTTGGGCAGATCCGTGGAATATTCTCAATATGCCTCATGTTTTCATTCCGTATTCCAGCCTGGAATATATCACATGTTCCAGGCTGGAATATTGTGACCAAATTCTGGGACTATCATTGATTGGGATTCTGATTGGGATTCTATAATTAGCTACTATTTCAGCAACCATGTTTAACATCCCAGGTATGCACAAATGCTCAACAAATTTTGCCTCTATAAATGCCCACCCAGCCCCAGCAGACTTGCAAGAAGCAGAGCACAAACCCAAATTCTCTATTGCCTCAAGTTCTCCACGGATGCTTATAGCCCATCCCCAATTGATTACACAAGTACCTACAAACGCGCTTCAAACGGCACTGCTACAAACACGCTTCATTCGGCAGCGCCCGTTTGTGAGCCACCCCCCCAACCTCAAGATTCAGGTGAGTCAGCTGGTTGAAACTCACGGGAAAAGAACTTACGAGTTGTTTGGCTAGCCCAGCACTTCCCTGATTCACGTCCGCTGAACATAAAATGACTGCGAGAACCTACTCAAGCAAGTGGATTAGTTGAAGCAGACGGAAACGACCTTACCTGGCGGCCCTGGCCAGTACAGCAAATCCTCCATTGACTTCTACTCCCCCGATTCCCGCTTCCTGCCCCGAAAAGATGGGTACACGCGTGGGTTCCGCTGCAGGTCGGGCTCCCGGCCACTGCCATCCCACAATTCCGGGGGTCGTTTGGCGCTGCATCAAAGCGTGAGTTTGCGTGTTACCTCAGCCAAATTTTACGCACCTTGACCCGGACCCCGCTGTCTCCGCCAGCGCTGGCGCCCAACAACATTATGATGCGCGCGCGTCGCAGCCCGCAGCCCTAACCATGCGCCCGGCCCGAGCAAACCCCACCGTGTTCGTCATTTCGGTGGCTGTGGCTGTGGCCGTGCCGCGAGATTCTGCAGGCGTTGGCACGGCGCAGCGCCACCCGGCCCGGCAGTGTCGCCCTCACTGGCCTGTTTCTAGTCTCCAAAACCAAACTCGCGTATAAGTGTGCAGACGTCCAACGGCACTCCATAGGTCGTTCATAACTGTGTTGTATTTCGAGTCTTCGTATGAAAAACGAGGAACTCGGCCCATGGTCGTCAGGACAGCCGTTTGGCGAGGAGAAGGGGAAGGGGTCGAGTTCGTTGGCGAGGTTGGCAATGAAAGATGAGGGGAAGGTGTGGGTTTGCTACTGGTGGGTGCGAACCACAGGTAGCATATCATCTCGAATGTCTAACTTGCGGGTCGTGTCCGCGCAACATAAAGCCAGTCGCGCCCAGGCATCGTGGAACCATCCATCTCTACGCGCGCTGAGATTTCGACTTCTAATCATTGACATAGTAGTCCGCGGGCGGTTTCTGGTGCGCGAACGGAAGTAGTATAGACGCTTTAGAGAAGCGGTCTTGGCGATTTGAGGCGGGCAAGCACTCGAACTCGGCTAATCTATTGCTGTCCCGCCCACCAGTTCTCGCTAGTCAAGTCAATCTCGCGCGCGAGTTGGGCAGCGAGGGCGGTCGTCAAAACTGCCGTTTGGCGGGTAGTTGGCAAGAAGGGGCCAAGCGCATTGGTGGAGAAGAACAGCAGCTGCCAGCGTGGCATTTCCCACGGGGGCTCCGGCCGGCCGGTCCGAACACAGACGAGGACGCTAGCTTTGCTACGACTAGCGAAAGCCTTTGCCACGACCTGGCAGGTGCATGAAGGGAGCCTAGGGCTGGGTTGGTGGAGGCGGGTTGGCGGAGCCTGAGGCGGTTGGCCAACTTGAAGCTTCACTAACGGCACTCGTCGTCGACCGCTGGCACGAGAAGGCAAGGCGGCCCGATGGGACGATCTTCCCTCGTTCGAGCTGGTGGTGCCCTCGCCACCCTCGCCAAAGTCACGTCGTTGACTGTGGGCCCAGATTCTCGCAGCGGGCGGCCCGGGTGGATTCGGTGACACGGCCCGGGCTCGGTGCCAATGCGATTTGCGGCTTGAACAAGCGGTTCCTCGCAGGTTTCAGACCTGCTTCAACCTAAGGATCCGCCTTAGCTGGAAAAGTGACAAAGCCGGAGGGACAATGACGGACAGTGGCCTTTTCTGCCAACCCGCTCACGTCCGTCCGGGTACATGCATTGACGAAGGCTGATGACGGGATTCGAGCGGGTCGTAGGGGGGCAAAGACAGTTATGCGACTGGATCTGAAGAGGACCATTAGCTGGTATAGGAAGGACTCAAGACAACAGCACACCTTTCACTCAGAGATACGTGTCTGCTCCGAGTCCTCCGACATTTCATACCCATCTAACCCCACAAGTCGACATACTGTACTAGATGGAGGCTCAGATATACGAAATCACGGAGGTGCAGCATCTTCGAGAACGCGTTGCAAATTCCCGC